ACGTCTCCGGCCCTGGGCACTATCTACAAGGAACTCGCGCAGAAGGTGCACCACCGAGCTCAAGCGCAACATGACAGTTCACCAAGCCAAGGAGGGGCCGCCTCAGCCACACCCCAACCCAGACGCCACCGCTTCCGCGCCCCAGCACGACGCAGCACCAGCAGTCGCGCAGGGCACAGGCCTCCCCTGCAAGCCGGGCCTGAAGCCACGGCCCCGACCTCCTGGGCCCGCTGCCGTGCACCAGGACCGGGCGACTACACACCCACCCGAGAGGGCGGTGCCCGCGGCCGATCCCCCACCCCGCGGGTCCGCCGCCCCGCAGGCAGCCCGGCCGTTTGAGCACTTGGACGGCAAACCCACTGACACTCCCACGTCAGAGTTGGTCGTCCCGGTCGTCGAGCACCACAGAGTGCTCGGGCACGTCCAAGCAGCCCGCTGGCGCGCCCACGTGGTGCGTTTTGAGCCGCGCCTCTGCTCCGTGGCTGCCCTGCGGTCGTCCCTCTGCGGTTCTTTCGGCTACACGTGCCACCCAGCCGACTCAGTTCCCGCGTGGGGCCATTCTGACGGCTACAACCTTGCAGACACTCTCCCGCCCAGGGTGCTGGCCGAGGCCAGCAAGCTCGTCCACAAGGACGGTGGCCACATGACGTAGGCCGAGTTCCTGACGCGCTCCGTCCTCCTGAGCACGCCAGTCCCCGGTGCCGACCCCCACATGCACTACCCCGACACCCTTTCGACCTTCCTCGTTGGCTGGCACGGGCATCACTTCGACAATTGGGACACGATGGCGATTGCCGACCGGCGATACCTGGTGCGTCGTCTCGTCTCCGACGCCCGCCCCGTCGCAACGACCACCCCCTGGAGCTGCCGCTCCCACTTCCGACCCCCATGCCACTCGCCCCACCTTCTCGCCGCGATCGCAGCCCTTTCCTATCCGCTCCGTCTCTCGACGCTCGAGCGAGTGGAGGGGAGGCCCCAGAGGCGCACCCCCCCACGAGACCTGGTATTCGAGCCCAGCACCCAGGGAGCCATCCGCGTTCCCCCCTATCGAGGGCCAGTGGTCGAGTTCCCCGCCCAAAGAGGCCCCCACGGGAAGCTCCCCTGCCGAGCAGGTCACCTTCCAGCGGCGCCTTCGGGTCTCTGGAGTGCAACGCGGCCGCGCCTCCCTGCCATCTCGAGACGGGGCCAGCCCCCAGGGCAGCACCGCCCGCCAGGCCACGCGGTCCCCCCCCCGCCTCTGACTGGACCACTTGCCGCTTCCCCTGTGTGCCCCCTGGTGCCGCGGCGGGTGCCCACCCTCGAGGTCTCTGCGTCCGGGGGCCGCTCGGCTGGCAGGCACGACGCCCCTCGGCCAGTCAGGGCTGCCCCCCCGCCGCCGCTCAACCTCGACCCCACTCCGCGCAGGCCAGCGACGACGCAGTGGGTGCCCCAGCTGCGATGCGGCTGCGACACGACTCGGCGATTACAAAGGGTGTGGCTACGCGGGGGTGTGGCTCTGCGATATGCGTTGTTGGGGCTCGGGGGGCGCCACGTTGTCCACGTCGGGCCTCCTAGGGGCGCGGCCGAGAACTCTGTAGAAGCCCTTGCCCGGCCCCTGGGGTGCGGGCTGCAAACCGCACATGTTGCACATCATATGCCTTTCGGAGTCGCCGAACGGGCCCCAGCCCGCATTCAGGCGCCTCCCTCCCCGTCCTGCAGGCTTCTCTGCGGACGAGGACGCGCGGTTTGTTCTCGTCCACAGGGCCAACGCCCTCCGCGATGGCAGCGCACCATTCCGCGACCTGCCTGGACCAAGCGCTCTGGCATCACGACCCCTCATGGCAACCCCATGGATCCAACCCAGTAGTTCCTTGAATCCCTGACCGAATTCCTGGCCTCCATCCCTCAGTGGGATTTCCCCGTCGCTCCTACCACTCGGAAGCGCCGAGCCCCGAGGTGCCCGTCCCGAGGCTCCCCCCACCCCCCGACTCCTACTCCGACCTCTTGCCCCCGGCCGTTTGCCAGGGCGCCGTCCCTCCTCAGCGCGTGCTTCCCTCCTTCCCCGTTGCTGCGGGGTGCACTGTCCCACCCTGGACGCCACTTTCCTTTTCGCCTATCCGGCGTTATGCCTGTTCAGCTCCTCCTGTAGGCCCCGCCGCCTCCGCACGCGGCTTGCCCTCCACTGCGCCTCCCTTATCGACCCGCGTTGGACTGCCACTGCACCTTCACGCTCTCGTCATACGAAATTGTCTCGTACCACGACCCCCTGGGTTGCGCCTTCCCCGCCCTCTGGCTGTTCCACTCTCGTTTTCCTTCGCGGCTGCCCGCCTGCGAGTCATGTCACGTGGTTCCCCCATGGGTGCAGTGCTAAAGCGTGTGTGTGTGTGTATGTGTGTGCGCGCGCGTGTGTGTGTGTGTGTGTGTGTGGGTGTGTGTGTGGGTGGTGTGCTTGTGTGCTTGTGTGTGCTTGTGTGTGCTTGTGTGTGTGCTTGTGCGTGTGCGTGCGTGCGTGCGTACGTGGTGTGCGTTGCGTCGCTGTGCGCGTGGCCGCAACGCCAATGCGTGCGTGTGTGTGTGTGTTTGTGTGTCTGTGTGTGTGCGCGTATCTGTGCGGGGGGGGTACAGTCCGCTTCGCCGGCCCGTCTGCTCAAATTCGCCATGGTCGTGTGGCCTGCCGGCATGGCTACCTTCCGCCAGCGGCGCTCGAACGCCTGACCTGGCCTTGGGGACTGTCCTACAGAATGAAGGAAGCACCCCATGGGTGCGGCACACGCCTGTGTCCCATCCCCGTGGCCCAGACGCTGGGGCCATCGCCGGCTGCCCCTTTGCCACGCCCGCTCCGTATTATCACTCTCTGCTAGGCTGCGGAATGTCCCTCCTTGGGGTCTTCCCTCGCGCTGGCTTCCCGCTGTCGGTTCTCTGCAGCTGGCGCTCGCGTCTTGCTGCGCTGCTCCTGGGCGCCGGTGCGCAGCCTGGCGTTCTTGGCAGTGCCGAGCGTGCTCTTTCGCACTGTCGCGTCGGCCCTGCCTTCACTTTTGCCCCACGCCAGCCGGCCGACTGTCTGTTAGAACTCTGGCATCCAGCCCCCTGCTGGGTGTAACTGCCCTCCCTTGGGGCCAGGACGCGGGGTCATTTTGCTTCGGGTCTCTGGGGCCCGTCTCGTCTTCGGACACCAAGTCGCAGCCGTTGCGATCCCCTCCTCGCGTCGTCACACGGCCCACCCGGCGCGGGATCAAAGGTTCCATGCGTCTAGTGGCCTATTGGCTTGGCAAGGGCGCCGACGGCCTGCTCAGCTTCGCACGCCGCTCTCACTCGACGCGCTTCGAGGGTTTGTCGCACTCGCGCCATTCTCTTTTTTTTCCTGCCGCCATCCCGCACCCCTTCGCGGGACACGCGTGGCGCAGTTTCATGCTCGTCACGCGTTCGCCCTTGCAGATTGGCATGTGTCACTGCCGCCACTTCTTTGTCGCTGGGTCGCCGCCTCGTGCCCTCAAGTGGGCCTCGAGCAGCGATGGTCCTAAGGGCCCAATCCTGCACGGTCAGGTGGCACCGCCCGCCTGGTTACATGCCAGTTTCTTCAACGCGTGCCTTTTTGTTCTGCATGCGTTGGCCACGTCCTGACGCCCCATGTGCAACGCCAGGTGGTAATTGATTTGGGCGTGGTCCGCCCTAGTGCTCGCTGCGTTGGCACCAACTGACCACCGATGAGAGGGTATGTGTGTATAAGTGCGTGTGTGTGTGTGTGTGTGTGTGTGTGTGTGTGTCCGGCCGCGCGCGCGCGCCCGCACCCGCCGCTCTTCGACTTACGCCGCCTCGTCGCTGCGCGCGAGGCCGCGACCGCCAGAAGGATTAGTGTGTGTGTGTGTGTGTGGGTGGGGGGGAGGGGCGGTAGGAGGGTACCAGAAAGATGAGGCGAGGTGTTTTGATGATTGGCGGACCGAGGGGTAGAGGCGGGCAAACCATTCCCCCAAGACGGGGATTGAACAACTAACTTTGTCGTGAAACCACCTGCGCCAAGAAGATTGGTGGGATTTGCCTTGTCTTCCTTGCTTTCGTGTGCAATGATTTCGTGGTAATGTCTGGATTCCCCGTCCATGGAATTCTCAGTCTGCGGACAGACTGGCGCCACAGCGCTTTCTGGCTGGTTTGTGGGGGTCCGATCGATCAACTTTCGGCCTTGCCAATGTCTGACGATCTTGGTTTCGCCGATTCTTCAATCAGCTCGAGCCGATTTGGTGATGGGGTCGATCCGAATCGACGTATCGACTTGGTAATTAATTTGGGCCCCTGGATTTACTGTTCTCGTTCACCTTCACCCTCATAGCCCGAAAACCTTCCATCCCTCTCTCTGTCTTCTTCATCTGTATTTCCTTTGCCTGCTCTGATTGCTGCTTCGATGGAAGGCGGGCTCGCTGCAGCAGTTCTGGCCCAAGTCGTGTTTTGTTTTAGATGGCACGCTCGTCCCGGGACAGTTCTGTCAATGATACTAAGACGGTGGGATCCATTGCGGCCAGTTTCAATTTTTTGGCGCGCACGGATTCTTTCGATGTGTTACTTCGGACCTCTATGAACGTGCGCCAAGATGTCCTCAAGGAGAAGGCGCGGGCTACTCCCGACAAGCGGGAAGAGGAAACGGATCAAGCTAGGACGGCCAAGGAGTTTGAGTGGGGGAGTGAGGAGGAGGTGGAGGATGAGGAGGAGGAGGTGGAGGAGGAAGAGACGAAGGTAGAAGCCGCCCTCCACAAGCCTGAGTACGACGTGGCGAATTTCTATCACAGCACAGGTATTTGGAGGACGATCGCAACACACCCGGTCTTCGAGAACCTGACGTTGGTGGTGATCTGCTCCTCCGCCTCTTCTGCCTCCACGGGCAGTAGGAGTCGAAGTGATCGACTGCGTTCCAGAAGTTTTTAGGGGTGCTCTTGGCCGTCTTTTCCCATCCACCTCATCCTCTCTTCTTCCTCCTATTGCTATCTCCCCCATCTTTCTCCTCCGCGGTGATTTCCATCAATGCACTCTGGATGGCCATAGACACTGACAGCAACTCGGCCACGACGCTTCTTGACGCGGCGCCGATGTTCCAGATCGCGGACCACGCCTTCTGCTGGTACTTCTTCTTTGAGTGGTACGTTCGCTTCAGCTCGTTCGCGGGGAAAAGAAATTGCCTGAGGGACGCGTGGTTCGTCTTCGACTCCTGCCTGGTATCGCGTCCGCGCAGCCGCGCACACACCCGCCGCCTCGTGTCGGAGCAACTGCTGCCGACGCGTGCTGGGATCGGCGCGCCAGGGGGGCCCAGAGCCGATCTCTGGGGGCAGAGGCGTGAGGCCCCCCCCCCACACCCCACCCACCCAGGAAGCCTCGATCTCATTTCTGTTTTGAACTTCGATCCTCTGTCTCCAATCCTTGAGGACTGGAGGCAGCAGCGGGCCCGGCACACACACGCTGAGGTCGCGCCGGCCCCTGGCGTTGGCGGATCCATGATGGTGGCCGAGACCTGGGTGATGACGGTGGTGCTGCTGTGCCTCGACACAGGGGGCGGCGGCGGCATGGGCGGTCTCTCCATCCTCAGGCCACGCTCGTCCTGCAACTCCCTCGTCTTCCCTTCTCCACCTCCTTCTCCTTCGGGCCCTCCGCTTCCCTTTACTGGCCCGCTCCTTATCCATCCTCCTCCGTCGACTCCGTCGTCTCCTCCACCTCCTACATCTTCTCCGTCTCCTCCTCCTTCTCCGCATCCTCCTCCTCCTCCTCCTCCTCCTCCTCCTCCTCCTCCTTCTCCTCCTCCTCTTCCTCCCCCGTCTCCTAGGACCTCCCTTCGGGCCACGCTCCACCTCCTCCCCCGTCTCCTCCTGTCGAATTTCCTTTTCCTTCTTGTTTCTCCTTGTCCCTCTCCGTTTCTTCCTTCTCCCATTTCTCTCTTTTCCTCCTCCATCTTTCTCTCCTCTCCACGTCAACATCCGCAGGTGCCAGTTTGGCTCAATGGTGGAGGGCCGTCTGCGGCGCCGCCTTATGCCCGTTTCCGCCAGCCAGTCGCGCGTGACCGTTCGCCGCGCTCGACTCCCACTGGCGGTGGGTCAAGCACCACCATGCGTGACGAACTGTGACGCCGAACCATGGCATGCTGAGTTGTGGTCAAACAAGCTTTGGCCACACTTCATCATGCCAGACTCTCTTGTTGCTGCTCCCAGCAGCTAAAGTTTGCATCGGATGTCGCACGATCGTTGCAGGCATGCGGAGTCCGCGATCGCTTGCGACATGGCGGAACATGTCACGCGCAATGCGTGCGCAATCGACTTCGCAGAGACGGATCAGACGAAGAGAAAATACAACAGGTCTTTTTACAAGGATGAGTGGGTGTGAACCGACCCCAACCCCTCAGGGAGCGACCGTCGCCAATTGCCACTGGCGACGAGGCCGAGATCTGGTAACAAGGGAGGGGCTGTCCCCGTGGACAGGATTATGGTGCTGAACTCTCTGGCCGCCTGTAAGGTCTGCCAGTGAGAGATTTGCACTTGCCCTCGTATTTTGACTCGTCCGCTTGCCTGCGCACGTGCGTACGCTCTAGAAGAGTTCTGTGCTTTGCAACTTTGTGCGCGCAAGGTGCAGCTTTGCCCGCATTTCAGACACAGTCTGCAGCCAGTACCGCTGGCGCTCCCCAGGCAGTGGGTCGACGACATCCACCTGCGAGCTGAGGGACCCGATGCCTCAGTCAAGCGCCAACTGGTCGAGGTATCAGCTGCATCATCAAACGCTGCCTCCACGACAAACCGCCATTGACTAGCAAGTCCGCAGTGAAGATCGGATGACAGCGCCGGGGTGGCCGCGCATGCCAGACTGCGACGACGCGGCGCGCGCATCCCGGAGGCGGGGGCAGTGAATGGATGTCTCGCGCTCGACGTCGCGCTGGGCAGAATGAGCGCGAGGCCAACGGCGGGATTGCGCCATCGCCAGAGGACGCGCCGCCGTCGGCGAGCCAGGCTGCATCCGCGGGCCGCCCTCTGGTAAAAGCGCGCGGCCATGCCCTCCAACGTTGATGCCCGCCCAGAGCATCTGCGCGACCGGCCGCCCTCTGGGCGCGACCCCGCGCGGCTTTACCAGACTGGTCAAGCTTCGCACTCAAAGGACAAGTCAGCATCATCCACGAAACGCCCATGCGAGCGCTCATTATCTGACCACCTCCGTGCGCCCCTGTGCACTTCGAGGAATCCCAGACGGTTCGCGGAATCACACCATCCCATCCAGAAACGATGCCTGGACGAGTTGTCCTGATCAGGGATGTGGAGTACAGTCGGGGCGCTGAAGAAGGAACCATTTTCGTTGGGGAGGGGCTCCGCGTTCCTTAAGTGTTTCACAGCTTGCCTCAGGCTTTTCTTATGTTCTCGACAGGAAATCGAAGCTTAACTTATGGAAAAAAGGGGTCTCGTTCCTTGTTTAGGGTTCCTTAGGTCAACGCCCCGACTGTATAATGCGGGGGAATGAAGGGTTGGGCAAGACGTCGCACCCCAAGAGCGGGAGGATGTAGGAGGAATCGGAGGAGGATCAAGGGGAGGAATGCCGCTAAGTACCCAGAGATGATAATGCGAAAGTCCTGAGACACAGTGCACGTGGTTTGTCTATATCATAATTTCTTCCCAGCGCCAACATCAGTGGACATTAAAAAGACCCTGCGGCATAGACGATGATCACACATGGAGCTGCAGTTGGTCAATTGACTACATCGTTCCACCTTGAGTACCTATATGATATACAAGACTCGAAGCTGTTGAATTGGCATGTTACTTGGAGCAGTACCGCGGCCCTTTTTGGTCCTACCACATACAGCCCTCCATGCCTGACGAGCACTGTCTAGCACCACGGACGCAGCACTGTCTAACAACACGCGCGCAGCACAGCACAGACCCTCGTCGTCAATTTGGACACGTGCAGTCATAGCCTGCACCATACCTGGGATGGTAGCCAGACGGCATACTTCAGGTAGGGGCAAAAGGCCACGCAGCACAGGCGAGCACAGGCCTAAAGCGACGTCCACCTGACCAGGAGCCCGACAGGGCATACCTGGGGGAGAGGCAGAATCAGTCTTTAGAGCAGTACCGTCTCCAACTGTCGTCGCAAGACTTTTCTTCAAGGACAATGGATGCACACTGCCATGTTGCCCTAACTGGTGCCCGCACCAAAATGCAATACAGAGAGGTTGGATGCCCTTCTTGCGACAGGTTAGGTCCCCATTGTACATGATAATCCATACACAGCAGGCTACATCATGGGTTACCCGCAGAAACACGTTTTGACACGCCTACACAGCCGGCATCGACGGGCGGACACGGTAGGCGGTGGTAGCCCAAGCTGCACGGCCTTACACGCCTACGCTACCGACGGCGGACTCAAGGAAATTGCACCTTACGCGCTTCATACCGCTACGTACCCAGAAATGAGACTGCGAAAGTAGTGATACACATCACACATTCTATGTGTATACCACCTTTTCTTCCCAGTGCCGACCTACGTGGACAGTTACATGCCCGTCCGGCATAGACGATGATTACACATTGAGTTGCAGTTGGTCCAATGACTACGTCGTCCCATCTGGAGTACCCATATGATGTACAAGAGCCGCTGCTGTTGAATTTACATGTTACTTGGAGCAGTAGTGTAGTCCATTCTAGCTTTACCACAGCCCCTTGCCCGGCGCCTCGCGCCTGCTGACGCGGTCTGCCCGGCCGGCGCTCCGGCCCCCCGGGCGGCTCCGGCTGCTCATGGCGGAAGTCTTCCGCCTTTGAGTGCTTGCCCTCCTCCCCCCCCTCGCGGCCGCCCTTCCCTTCCTTTTCCTTCCTCCTGCGCGCCGACCAATTCGATTTGCAGTGCCCTTGCATCGCTGCCACGCTGGAGCGGATTGCCCCGCCTCGCCGCCGACGGAGAAAGTGTTTGGTGGGCCTGCGCACAGCAGGCCATGCGCCACCACCCCCGCCGTCCTGTCAATAACCACTTGACTGTGATCGCGGGGTGGCCGCGCATGATCCAGATTTAGCCGCGAGGTGCATGTTGTATAGTTTGTTGCTAGTGATGGTAGCCATGCGAACAGCAGGCAGTATGCTGACACCCCCGCCGTCCCTGTCAAAAACAATACAAAGTGCTCGCGGGCCTCACGAACATCATTCCAGAGTTTGCCCCAATTGTATTTTGCATTGTTTTTTGAAAGGGATGGTGGGGGGGGGGGCGCCTCGGGTTGACCGCGCATGCTCCAAATCTGGAGGCCGAATGCGTTTTGTATCGTTTTGTTGACAGGGATGGTAGGGGGGGGTGATCATGGTTCCTGGTTGGCTGCCGGTCGCCTGGGGGAGGGGGTGTATATTAACACAAGGGAACAATGATCAACCCCTCCCCGAAGGGGAAGAAAAGGGTTGGAAGAGAAACCTCTGTAGACCACCTACGCCCGAAAAGGGTTTGTGACCTTGTTTATTTCTGCCACCTCCTTGAGCCCTCATCCCCTTCTGTGCCCCCCACCTCCTGTTGTCCCCCGCGTGACCAGATTTCGGCAGCGAACCGCGACCTCCAGCTCGCGGTCGATCCTGGTGCTTCTCGCTCAGTTCAGGCTCCTGCCACTGGGGTCTTCGAGTGCCCTCAAGACAGTTTGCTCCTTTTTGACCTTTGTCATGAGCGTCTCAACGCGTTCGCGCAAGTAGCGATTCGCGCGAGGTCCAAACTCGCGTTTCTCGTCCGCGACGCGCGTCTTCGCTGCTTTAAGGGGGTCAGCGCGCAGCAAGCGTTCAACCTGTAGATTTGCGCCGAGAGCCCCCCTCAGATGCCCGCCGCCCCTCGCGCCGCACTCCCGCGCGGACGGCGGGTTCTCGAGCAGGGCCTGGAAGTTCTGAGGCATCTCAAAACCCTCGTGTTCCGTCGCAGGCGAGCTGGCGCACATCAGAGTCATCAGAGGAGCTGATTCTGGCCCAGCGGCAGTTACTCGGCACTCCAGCTCTCGCAGGAACTTGCGCGCGTCGCCCATCGTCGCTGGCTTGCTCGCGTTTTTCCTCGCGGTTGCGAGTGCGCCGTCGCCCTCCCCGCTCAGCGCGTCATCAGGGCGACTCCTCGGCAGCGGCGGCCTGCCGGGACCGCGGCGCGGGGCCTCAGCGACAGGGTGGCCCAACAAGTCGATATGCCTTTTTGCGCTCGGCGCGGATGAAAGTGAGGGGGCGGTCGCGGGGGGATCGTGGGGCGGGTCGCGGATGGCTCGCGGGCGGGTCGCGGGCGCGTCACGGGTGGGTCGCGGGGCGGGGCGCGGGGTGGATCGGGGGATGGGGCGACGACAACGGCAACAACAAACAACAAACATGCATATTTTGTACCTCAGAATCCCACTTCGCGGCCCCCTCACTCGGACGAGGCCCAACGCCAAATCCTGTCCAAAACCGAGAGAGGCCGCTGTTGGTTAGGCGGCCTTCCGCCCCAAATGGACAATGACCGCGGCGACGGCGACAACGTCCCCTGTTCAGAATGAGCAAGAGCTGCTGTTGGACTTTGTGCCCGTGAATTCCGCAGCAAATTGGATCGCCCCGAACCTCAAGGGCCGCGCTCAGGCCGAGGACCTCCTCAATGACGACCGCGCTCTCAGTGCCACCCTTGGCCCGGAGACCGCGAGCGTTTTTCTCGTCCTCGTTCTCATTCTCGACGTCGTCGTCGTCCTCCTCCTCCGCCTCCTCCTTGCTTGCGCTGTGCGCACTTCGTGCGGGTGAAACCTCGCCTCGCGCTCCCCAATGGGTTCAGGGCCCCCTGGTAATCTTCTAAGACAGCTCGACTTACTGATATGGACATCGATGCAGACTTCAGCAGCAGCAGCAGCTTCTCCTCCTGGTCGCCCTCCTCCCTTACAGTGCTCCTTTTCGTCGTCGGCCTCCGTTTCCTCTCCGCGAAGGAGGCCCCCGCAGGCCCCCCTTGAGGCCTCTGGAGACCCAGGGGGGACCAGCGGACCAGCAAACGCTCAAAAGCTGGACCCTCGAATCCGAGTGAGGCCCAACGTGCCCTAGTCGGGGGCGGCAAAGAGGGGGTTGATGACCTAGGAGGGGGTGGATATCATGGCGGGGGCCATGATATTTCCCCAGATTTCATGGCGCCTCTTCTCATTTCATCACGTCCCTGGCCCCCCCGCTGGGCCGCGCACATGCTGCCGGTCATGATTTGCACACACCCCTCGTGGACACCCCCCTCTTAGCCGCTCCCGGAACGGGTGCACCTCTGAGAGGGGCTTCGGAGGCCCACCTCGAGACAGCCAGGGGCCTGTTCTTGGTTTGAGCCGTGGCTGGAATCGCGGCCCCTGCGACGCCTCACTGGAGGTACGTCGCATGAGTGTTCGATCATGGACCCCTTGTTGAACGCAACTGCCCAGCTTTTGCGCCGGAAACGGCCGAGGAGCTCCTGAGACGGTCGAGGACGGTGAGAGGACTACCAAAGTCCGCCGAAGGAAACCGGAAGACTGCCGAAGACCGCCGAGTACCGTCAGAAGACCGCTGGAGACCGCCCAAGGCCGATGAGTAACAATGGGTCCATGGTCGAATACGGTAGGTTCGCGTCGTGTCGTCCGGCGGCGACCCCACCAGGCTTTCGACGTTGAACGCCGCCTGCGACCCAGAATCGGTCGATGTTGAACGATCTGACGTGTCGGAAACGGCGGATCGTTCAAGGTGGAAGGATACGATCCTTGCGGTGTCAGGAGCCGACGCCGGGGTCGGCTCGACACGAACCTGCCGTATGCAGCATCGCCGTGGGGGAACGTTTGGCCTCTCCTCCCACTCCTCGATCTTTCGATCCGTTCCTCCATGCTTCCGCTCATGCTCCGGGCGCGCGCGGGTCAGGCTGTTCCGGCTTCTGCGGCTCTCCCGCTTGGCGCGGATGCTGCGGTCCATGCCTGAGCTCATGATCTTGATCAAGGCTGGGCCGTCAGGGCGATCAGAGCCGCAGTGGTCCGCGGACGACTTGGCACCGCGTTGGTGTCTCCCGAGGCGTCGTCGGTCCTCGACGCAGTGATGATGCGGTGCATTATTGTTCGTCCCTCGGAGTCGCAAAAATTTGCACGTATCGCGTTGTGGTGGTGCCTAAAGGGATTCCAGGCATGGTTTAGATTCAACAGTTGTACTACAGGAGGTACACCCACCGATAAAACTTGCCAAAATCTTAGGAACAACTTCTGTAATAAATTCAACCCCAGAAGAAACATACAACCATTTCTAAACCAAACCTTGGATAATCTCAAGCCCCCCAAACACTTCAACAATTTTTAAGCCCAAACCTGGGAACATCTCAAACCCTCAAATAAACTTGAAACCGAGACTCCAAAAAAACCTGAAGCAGAGAAATCGAAAAAAAAATATGCGCGCTTGAAAACTGTACCAAAAACGGCCGGTTTGGTTTAGAGATTGCTCTAAGTTGTTTCAGGTTCCCAGGCCGCCGGGGTTTGCACGTAGAGTCTTGTTATGGTTTTATCCAGGATTTCGAGTTTGCCAGGCGGCCAAAGAGGTTTAGAGTTGTTTGTATAACAAGCACGTTTCGAGTACGTCAGGCGCTTAGAATTGTTGGGGAGTTTTCAGAATTTATGTGAGTATTTAAGCGTTTATAGTTTTTGTTTATAGAGATTCCAGCGTGCTCTTCAGAGTTGTTTAGAGTTTCGGTTTCACCTTTGTGTTTGTTTTGAGTTGTTTCGCCAGGGTTTGGTTTAGAGATTTCTGTTTCGATCGTCGTCCTGTGAGTCGTGCAACGCATGCGCATCCCATGTATTTTGCGCAGCAATACACCGCGTCTACACTGTCGCTGTTCCTGCTAATGTTGGCCTACTCCTCTTGCCACTTGATGCACATGAGTTGGGTACGTCGCAGGGTCTTTAATTTGCTGCGTTATTCCTTAAATGGGTGGCTGATGTTGTGATCGTCTTTGAACAGGGCGCTCCCCTATTGTCATATTTGAAGCGACGTCCGTAATGGGCCTCAGGCGTGGTTCGACGTTGTTCAGTTTATTACATGGATCCTTCCCCTGGAGCGCCTCGCGCATCCAGGCGCAAGAGAAGCCTAAACAGAGCTTCGTTCGTTTCCCAATCTTCCTCGTGGCAGAATTGTGGCTGCGGTGAGCTTGACTGGCTTGACACGCCCGTCTTGAAACGCAACACGTGCCGTGTCCAACACGTCCGCGTTAAGACGCTGCGTGTTGGCTCGGCACGTGGGCCGTCGTTTTTGCGAACGTATCGCACCAGACCCACGTTTCCAGTCTACGTGCTGAGCGCTGTGTCAACACGCTACGTGTTGCATGTTGCGCACCGGGGCGGCCAGGGTGGTAAGCATGGCACTTCCCCTTGGTCTTACGACGAGGTGGGTTGGCACGGGAGGGTGCTTCTTTGCATCATCGTTGATGTATTATTCTCCTGCCCCCGCGCGCTCGCTCCCTCACGCATGAGCGCGCGCGGGGGGGAGGCGGGGGGCAGGATGGAACAGACGGGAGCAGTGATTGGGCTGGATGGGGGAGGAGGAGGAGAAGGAGGCGGAGGAGGAGGAAGAGGAGGAGGAGGACGAGGAGGAGGAGGAAGAGGAAGAGGACGAGGAGGAGGAGGGATGATGAGGAATGACGTAAGAGGGATGATCAGCAAATGGGATGGAATGGAATGCCTATACCGGGAACGCGGGTCACGAAATAGTCGAAACAGCTCGGGTAGTAGTTGAAGAGGAGGTCCAGCGATACTGGTTCAGGACGCAGCAACGCTACGTATCCCTGCAGATGAGCAGCCTGCTCTTTGAAACGTACCCTGTAGCTGAAAGCCGCCATCCGCTGCTCGTGGAGGTCCTGGGGTCTGGCGGGGAGAGGCCAAGCGTCGTCAGATGAACTATATATCGACGAACAGGACCAACTCATGACGATTGGGTTATTTCCATGTGCGGATCCTGCCCAATACCTCGACACTTCACGGGTAGGGGGCTCACAGGGGCCGCCGAGTTTGACATTCCGTCCTTGGGGCCACCCTCCACATCTTCAGCATACTATCTACTGCTTCTTTGGACGAGTACTTGCACGACGAACCAGACGGGTCCCCAGCGCCTTAAGCCGGCGTTCCAGCTATGGCCACGAGGAAGCGGCCGTTATTGTTCGAGAGCAACTCCCTAAAGAACGCGGGTTGGCTTCTACAACCATCAATGTTGAGCTCGTCTGGAGATCTTTCCGCCGGCAAAACAGAGCCTGCTCGGCACTCCGTGCTCGCATTCTTTCCAGTCGTGCCAAGTTTCTGGCCTTCGTGAGCGGCCAGCAGAGACCTTGTGCGGCCTCTGCCGCCGCATGCCATTCCGCAAACATGGGTGCGCTTCCATTGAAGTGAAAAGCTCCCTGGCCCGCCACATCCGGGTGCTGCAGATTCATCGGGGTGGGGGTTAAGGTGAAAAGAGAGAGAGAGAGAGAATGAGGGGGAGAGAGAGAGAGAGAGCGCGCGCAACCTTCGCATGCCTGTCAACCGCAGCGTTAGCCACAGCCTGGACACGATCTGTACCCTTCAGATGCGCCGTTTCCCTCTCACCTCGGTACGCCTTGACATGTTGAATGGCCTGAAACCTAGGCCAGCACTTCGAACTCCGAGCTTATTTCTGAATTGCCACCTGCCATGATGGGGGAATGACGCAGGAGGAGGTAGGAAAAGGGGTAGGAGGACGGAGGAGAAGGAAGGAGGAAGATGGAGAAGGGGAGGAGGAAGAGTCGGAGGAGGAGGAGGAGGGACGAGAAGGAGGACGAGGATGAAGAAGCAGGGGAGGTTGGTAAATGGGTTGGCTCTCTTGACCTCCTGACCCTGTCGGCGCTGATCCCGTCGAGGAAACCGTCTTCGCTCTGACTTGTATTACGAGTTCGGGGTCACAGGGAGATGTTTGTGCCTAGGGGCCATCAAAACCAACCTGGGATCGAGATCTCCTCGGGCCCACGCCGTGATGTTCGAATGGGGCACCCTTATATCGGACAATCTTGCATGGGGGGTGTCCAGCGCTGATGGGTGTCAAGACGATTTCACCGAGGAAGGAGGTGGAGAAAAACGGGGGAAGAGGAGTAGTTAGAGGAGGAGGAGGAGGACGAGGAGGAGGAGGAGGAGGAGGAGCTTCCTCCCAGGGGGTGGTAGCTTCATCCCGTTCCGTCTTCTGCACGATGGGCCTACTGGCCATTCTGCTGTACGTGTTCGCGATAGCGATGCGCCAGCTCACGGACGGTACCGACGTCGGCGAGCTTCATTTCTACAGTGTTCCCAGTTCTATGTACAGGCAGGGCTGGCAAAATAGTCCCCACCACCTCCCCCCTGCCACTTGTCCTCCATGCCCTCCCCACGCCGCTTTCCCACTTCCCCGCCTGCCCCTCCCCCCCTCCCCCTTTAGTCTTCCCCGTTCCAACGTCTGATTCCCCGTTTCTCCATCATCCCTTGTCACAATTTCCAACTCGTCCCTTTCTCCCCGAAACTCCCCCTGCGATCCTTCACCAGGGGATGGGGATGAAAAGCGCATTGAGCGGGCCATTTCGATCTGTCGGCTCAGCCCAGGCTATTAATTGAGGGTGTTTTTCTGGACAACCTGAGCTCCACTGTGAAGGTGATGTCGGACAGTAGCCCAGTTTTCACGATAGTGTTTCTTGTCTTCGTGTGCATAGCTGCCCTCATGGTGATGAACATGCTTATTGGTGTACTGTGTGAAGTCGTGAGTGATGTTGCCAAAAGGGAGAAAGAGGATATGGGTGTCCACGCTCTCAAGATGAAGCTCGCTGCAGTGATGGCCCGGCTGGACAGAGACGGGACCGGCACCCTCTCGGAGGACGAGTTCGTGCAGATCATGGGCGATGCGACCATCGTTCAGCTCCTAGACGAGGTTGGCGTGGACCCTATCGGTCTCATCGACATGGCGTCAACCATTTTCCTTCGAGATGATTGCGACGACGAGGATCTTCCCCCCCCCTTATCAGGGTTCGGCATGCAGGTTTCATGTTGTTTGCTGGAGGGCTTGGCTGCGTCTTCCATTGTGCCCCAGAATTTCCGCTCAGGGGCTGCATACGGGGAAGGAAGGCCGCTGCTGCATGCGACAGGGGCCTAGGCATGAACAGGGCCGCGTTTGGATAGATCCTGTGTCGGCACGATTCCTACAGGGCTCCTTAAACATTAATACCACCACGTGTTGTTTTTCTTGTTTGCAGATCCTCGATCGGCACGCACGTGAGATTCTCACAGGTATGTTTACGTGACCATATGGGAATCCCAACAAGATTCATCACTGCATACCTTCAGGGCCACATCAGAAATCAGTTCCATGCTCCTACATTAGTGCGGTGCTTCGTCTAGAGTGTTGCCGAGGGCAGCTGGATAGCACTCTATAGGACGTGTATGCACGCTTGCCTACCCGCGCTCGTGCGCACTTTCCTGCGTACCTGCCTGCTTGCATGTTCGCATATAAGCTAGCGTTTCATTCGCCCACTTGCATGGCTTGCTTTCACGGTTGCCTATTCGCGTCACAGCGTGCATGCTTGTTTGTTTGTTTCTTTGTTTGTTGTCATGTTCGTGTGTGTGTGTGTGTGGTTGCGTGTTCGTGTGTTTGATATTGTGAGTTTTCGTGTTTTGTATGAAAGCATGCTTGCAGACGTGTGTGTGTGTGTGTACGTACCGTTCCTTGTTGGATTGCTCGCTTGCTTGCTTGATTGCATATGTGTGTTCGTTTTCTATGCTTGCGCGGAAGACGCCGGGCCCAGGGCCGCAGCTGGTTACGAAGTGGCGCTGGCACGGCTCTGCCTGCAGAGGTGGAGCGGGCGGGACCCAGATGCCGCGGCGCCCCTCCCCCCAGCTCGGCCCGACGATGCCGAGCCAGGCTGCCCTCCCGGATCCCCAGCTCTGGTCGAGGTGCCGAGGCTCCCGGGTGCAGCCCGATGGAGCCATATATGCCCCCCTCCCGAGGCCCCAGGCCCGGTCGAGGTGATGGGGCCGCTCCCGGCTGGCGGGCCGCCGGCTGCTGGCCCGCCGGGGCCGGCCGTGGCGGCGGGGCGGCGGCTTGGCTCCCCGGATTGGCTCCTCCCGCGGGAGGTGCCGCTCGGCCTTCGGGGGCCGAGCCGGCCCGGCCACAGCACTCCTTGCCACGGCCCCGCTCGGTCGAGGCGCCGGCGCCCTCCCTCCCGGGCGTGGTGAGGTCGAGGTGCCGGCGGAGGCGGCGGCTGCGGTGGCGGCGTCAGCGCCGCCGCGCGGCAGTGGGCGCTCGGCGTGCTGCCGCGGGGCCGCTGGGCGCGAACGGGCCGCGTCGGCGCGGCCGCCCCCCGCGGGGCCTCTTCCCCCCTCTCCTCCCCCCCCCCTTCTCCTCCCGCGCCGCATTCCTTCCTTTCGGTCATCTGTCGTCCGTCGCTCGTCTGTCGTGTCGTGCCACTGGGCTCCGTCTGCGCTGGTAACAAAGTGCCTGCGTGGAAGACTGCGTGCGTGCTTTCTGAGTTGCGCTGTTGTTCTCTTGCACGTTTGCTGGTTTGCATGCTCGCTTGTTTGCCTCCGTGCATGACTGATTGCCTTCGTGGCCGCGCGTGCTTGTGAGCTGGAATGTCGGCATGCTTGCGTATTGTCTTGCTTGCTGCCATGCACGCGTGCATTGCGTGACCGCATGCCTGCAGGCTTCAATGCATGCATGCCTGCGTGCTTGCATGACTGTTTGCTTGCATTCGTGCGTGCCTGGATTGGCTTGCTGGCATGGTCGCTGCTGTGCTTAGTTACGTGCGCGCTTGCATCATTGATTGTAGTCATATTGACGTACGTGCGCACGCATGTGCGCTTTTGTTAACGATTGCGTGCATGAGTTCTTGCTTGCTCACGTGAGTTGTCACGTTGCCTGTTTGCGTGGTTGTGTACATCGTTGCCTCCTTGCTCGCATGGTTGAATGCGTGCTCGCATGGTTGTATCTCTTGCCCTGCTTGCTGTTGCGTCCTCGCTGTTGCACGCCTGCTGCTGGTCGCACGGTGCAGCTTGTTTGCCATCGATGCCCGTTGCTGTGTTTGCCAGTCCTGCTGCTTCCTTCAACATCAGGACTGGCTAGGTGGGCTCGGCTGCACTGGGATGCCCTGGCTATTCTGGTTGGTTGAGCTGGCTGTTCGGGCTGAGGTGGCTGGCCGGGCCGCCTGCCTCGTCCAGCCAGCTTGGATTCCTCGGGCGAGATCCAAGGCCCCCAACAGACGCCAACAGAGACCTGGGGTATCAAGAGGGATCCAGGAGGCCCCTCGAACGGCCAGAAGGGCCCCAAGGACCCCCCAAGGCGGCGGAGCAGAGTGTCAGAAAGGCACAAATAATCCCCAAGAGGCTCGTCCTTAAACGGCCAGCAGAGCGTACGAAGTGATGCCACGCAGTCGCTCCCAGTACATCCGAGAGCATCGCAGACGGCTCCTCTTGGGAAGTCGGGAGCCTCACACATGTTCCGTTTCTGTTGTCGAGCATGGCTGACGGCGTGGGCATGGTGGAGGAAGGGGCGAGGAGGGATCAGTGAGGAGGGCAGAGGCGGGTGGGTTCAACCAGGAGCGAGGAGAGAGAGAGGGAACGGAGAGCAGATGGTAGCCACGTGGGGAGAGGAGCCAGCGTGGGGGGATCCACTAGAGGAGAGGAGCGAGGAGGGACGAGGGCTGAGCGGAGGGGGAGGGGGGATGAGTGAGGTGGGCTGGGTGAGGAGGGACTGAGCAGCAGGGAGCAAGGAGGGTTGGAGGGAGGGGAGGGGAGAGCAGGGAGCAAAGAGACGGGGGTGGGAGCATGGAAGCGGAAGAAGCGAGAATGAAAACGCGAGGTGGGAGGAGCAACGATCATATAGGCCAGGGGGAGGGAGCGGTCAAGAGGGAGGAGATGGCGATGAGGCAGGGCGGGGACGGACAGCGACAGGGATGAACGGGCGGGGCGGAGCGAGGAGGAAAGCCGGAGGGAGTAGGGTAACACGAGGAGAGAGGCGGGAGTAGTCAGGCAAGAGGAGCAAGGTGGGAAGAGGGAGGGGGGGAGGGCGATATGTGTGTCAGAAAAGGTTGGGGAATGAGGGAAGGGGCAGGAGGGGAGCAGGGAGGAGGGAGCAGAAGATGCGGGAGGGAGGGAGGGGGGGGTAAATAAAAGGCGGAGGGAGGGGATTGGGAGGGACGAGGGAGCAGCGATGCGGCCCCCAGACGGCTCATCAACCGACGCAGGACGGCCACAACCCGCGAAGAACTGTCGCGACAGTCGCCTAGTGTGCCGTTACGCGGTCCTGTCTTGCAGGAGCTGTCGTACCTTCCTCCCAGCTGAAGGCGGCGGAAGGGCGGCGGAAGCCGGCGATAGTAAAACGGCGGCGGGTCAGCAAGCGGAAGTTGGCGGAAGGTTGGCGGAAGGCGGCGGAAGTAAGCGGGAGGGAGGGGCACACGGAGGGAGCCGGCACATTGGCGACCGGGGAGAGCGGAGAGGTGGCGGCGGTGCCGGGGCGGCCCGCGAGGAGATCGAGATCACCTTCCAGGAGTTCCTGGAGATCGTCCTGGAGGCGCGCGGCTCCACCGTGGCCTGCGTGAAGGACTCTTTGGCGCGCCCTCCGCACTCCCCGGCCCTGGACCAGGCAGGGAGGCGCACACAGGTCTCGCTGTGAGGGAGGTGCAGGGGAGGGAGGTGGATCAGCGATGGGGTGGAGAGAGGGAGATCGAAGAACAGAAACCGCCATAAGCATAAAATGTTGGGGCTCTGCGCAGATTTCTTGGATCTGGACTGGAATCCCCTGGCAACGCCTCCGGCGCCGCCCCTGGCGCGTTCCACGCGCTAGGGATAGGGGCCTATCGCAGATTGAAGAAATCCGCGCAGACCTCCAACAAGTGATGCTTATACAGTTTCGTCTTCCTCCAGGAGAGGGCTTGTTGGCGGCGCGCCCAGGGGGAAAGCCAAAGGGGGTGGGCCTTCTCAGAAGGCTCAGAAGGCTCCAGCCTTTGAGAAGCCTTCTGGGTCCTCCCCGAAGACGCGGAGGGGCTTCTCAGAAGGCCAGAGGGCTTCGAAGAAGCCCGCGGCCTTCTGAAAACTCCTGCACCCTGTCACTTCTCCCCTCGACGCGCCGCCGAATTCAGGCGAGAGCCCCATTTTGAACAGCTTCCGCCTTCCACCCTCTTCTGGTGATCGCGGCTGCCAAGGATGCAGGCTCATGGAGTTCAACAGGATGCGCCGTCCACCCGTGGAATGGTTGCGCAAGTTTCAGATTCTGGTCAGACAATTGAAGGGATCTGAAGAGATAGCTCAATTTTCAAAGACTAAACCGTCCTCCATCCGTGCAGCTGTTGTATCACTTGATGGCCGTAGCACTTTCAGACGCATCAAGTTCGAGCTCCAGAGTGAACATCACCTGCACCCCATCTGTTCACCAGTTTGGAGCGTCTGAGATGCATGCTAATGGCGCTTCGGAGGATATCTGGACAAGCACATAGCAACGATAGAGAGAATTCGAGGGCGCTTGGGCCCCGACCCACGTTTTGAAAGCGTTCGCCCTCCATCCGTGCAGCAGTCGGACATGTCAAGCTGCGGGGTCATCAGCGGCGTAGTAGTACTAGTAGTAGTAGTAGTAGTAGTAGTAGTAGTAGTAGTAGTCGTCGTAGTCGTAGAAGTAGTCGTCGTCGTCGTAGTAGTAGTAGTAGTAGTAGTAGTAGTAGCAGTAGTAGTAGTAGTAGTAGTAGAAGTAGTAATAGTAGTAGTAGTAGTAGTAGTAGCAGTAGTAGTAGTAGTAGTAGTAGTAGTAGTAGTAGTAGTAGCAGTCGTAGTAGCAGTAGTATTATTATTAGTAGTAGTAGTAGTAGTAGTAGTGGTAGTAGTAGTAGTAGTAGTAGTAGTAGTAGTAGTAGCAGGAGTAGTAGTAGTAGTAGTAGTAGTAGTAGTTGTAGTAGTAGTCGTATGTAGTTAGTAGTAGTAGTGTAGTAGTCGTCGTAGTAGTAGTCGTCGGTAAGTAGTAGTAGTGGACTGCTTCGTAGAGCAGTCGTAGTCGTAGTCGTAGTCGTAGTCTTAGTCGTAGTAGTAGTAGTAGTAGTAGTAGTAGTAGTAGTAGTAGTAGTAGTAGTAGTAGTAGTAGTAGTAGTGTAGTAGTGGTAGTAGTATTAGTAG